AAAATTTTCGACTCGGGCAGGACTTGAACCGGCATCGTCAGCTTTCCGTGCTGTTAAAAAAAAAAAAAAAAAAAAAAAAAAAAAAATTTTCAATTTATTTTCGATTTTTAAATTATATAGTGCCTTCATGTGCAATAACATGTGAAAAATATTAATGTTTTCAAACGTTATAACTTTGTAATTTCATCTTCAATGATTTCTTAAGCTGCAAAGCATAAGACATTGAGCCTTAATACGCAAGTGTTAAGGTAGAAATTACATTGCGCGAGAGGTGCATGTATCAATAAGTTGAAAAAATTCGACGATGAGGTGTAGGACTCGGTAGCTCAATTGGTAGAGCAACAGCACGGAAAGCTGACGATGCCGGTTCAAGTCCTGCCCGAGTCGAAAATTTTTTCAATTTATTTTCGATTTTTAAATTATATAGTGCCTTCATGTGCAATAACATGTGAAAAATATTAATGTTTTCAAACGTTATAACTTTGTAATTTCATCTTCAATGATTTCTTAAGCTGCAAAGCATAAGACATTGAGCCTTAATACGCAAGTGTTAAGGTAGAAATTACATTGCGCGAGAGGTGCATGTATCAATAAGTTGAAAAAATTCGACGATGAGGTGTAGGACTCGGTAGCTCAATTGGTAGAGCAACAGCACGGAAAGCTGACGATGCCGGTTCAAGTCCTGCCCGAGTCGAAAATTTTTTCAATTTATTTTCGATTTTTAAATAATTAATGTTATTAAAAACATTATAAATGACTTGTAATCAATTTTTATCATCATCATCAGGTTAGACTTCTCACTTCGAAGCCCTGCCAAGAACTCTAAATGTTGCCTGGCATCCAATTGATGTTGGTAAATGAAACAAGTTGTAGATTTTTATGGTTCTAGTAAATACCAGCTTTTTCACTAAGTGGTCTTTTAAGTAAATGTTGGCCCCACAAATGTAGGTGAGGCACTTATACCTCCCGTCAGAATACGGTACAGACTGCTAAAACTGACTAAATCGCAGAACCGTATAAATTAGAACAAACCATTAAAGACGAACAAAAAGTGTATTCAGATATGAATGAAAAGACTTGGAAAACATTAATTTTCTAACATTAGACAAGTTCTGGCCACGACTTCTGTTACGAAACCTTGATAAAGGCATATCAACGTAACTTGGATTTTTTCTTGAAGAACAGCTAATTAAAGTATTAAGAAACTTAGTAACTTTGGTATCGAAGGATATTGTTAGTTTGGACAGGGCACTTATTTAGACAAGTAGATACCAGAATTAAGTTATGGCAATTTTCACGAGTGTTCTTTGGCTTGCACTAAAATGCCAGGTGCATTTTTCTCTGTTACACTACAACTACAGAGGTACGAAATGACGCAGGACCAAAGTTTTAAAATGGCGTGCTTCGATCGCTGGTCCAGTGGTACTTGGGTTTAATACGCACCAAGTCCAATAAGATTGCAAAGCCATAATTATATATGCGTACTTTCGATTTAGTCTGTGGATTTTAGAATGTCCAAAGCAGAAATAAAAGTCTCTGGGGCCACACAATATCAGTGTTGGGATATAAGTCTCAACGTAGCTGAGTGGACTCCTTTTCAGAGACAATTGTATTATTTAATTAATATTATATTTATAATTGTTAGCATGTTATGCTAACAATTATAAATTTGTTTCTAAAATTCGTTCATTATTACATACTGTGTATAGTTTACGCAAGTAGTACACATTTAAATAAAACACTTTAAAGGTTTAAACCGCGATATATTAGTTACACTTATTTGAAAATGATTTTTAACTTCGGCCCGGCGTTTCCGATGCTTTGCAGCAGCCGTGGTTACGGGGAGACAGTCTCCCCGAGCCGAAGTTAAAAATCATCTTCAAATAAGTTTAACTAATATATCGCGTTTTAAATCGTTGAAGTGTTCATTATTGTAAATTTGTGTCGTTTTCGTAAAAAACGTATTTCTATTCTAGATATAGGTTGACCACGATTTTTAATCGGATGTTATATAGCTGTGGTATTTCGCCTTCCAATAAATGAACCCTCCTGTTTATTCTTTTATATCTTAAAACATGATATACTACAAGAACTAAACGCAATTCCAAAGGTTTCTTGGAGCGAAATCTAGCCTACTATAAGGGAACTCAAAGTCCCCCTTTCCTCGAGTTGCTGAAATTTTATACGCTGAAGCTGAAGACCCATTTAAAAAGCAGATATATATGAATTGGAGTGAAGGATAATTTCGAACTGCTGGTTATATCTCCGCTTGCTATTGGCAGGCGAATCACGCACGACGGGTAAACTTCGCGCTTCACTCGATTTTAAATAACTTCCGAAGCACGCAGCGCAAAGTTGGAATCAAAGAGTTGTCAACCAGTGTGTCTGTAGTTTACGCGAGTTGTACATATTTAAATAAAAGACTAACGGTTTAAAACGCGGATTATACTAGTTACACTTTTTGTTGCAAAGCATCTGAAATGGGCCGTAGTTAAAATAAGTTTAACTAATACAAATACTGTGTATAGTTTAAGCGAGTAGTACACATTTAAATAAAACACTTTAACGGTTTAAAACGCGATATGATTCGTGTTTCATATTTGTCGATACAAGTTTTACACATAAAACTTGCAACTACATCAGAATCACGATGCAGTAATTAAAAGTAATTTTATTACTATCCAATACGATTTTTTAAAGTTAGAGGAGGATAGACAAGCATGGAGATAACTTGATGGAAGGAAAATCCTAGCCATAATAGGCTGGCAGCGCATCTTGTTAAGTTATTAAAAAAAAACCCAAATGATAAATTAATTCGCTAATTTACAAAACAGGAACATCTGATTAAGACAAGACCTATATAGATAGTTTTACAGATGAAATACACGTAATGACTTCAAACAATTGAAAGATATTTAATTCTAATGTAACGATAGTTGCTGTCTTTATGACTTTAATGCCAGGAATCAAAGTGTAGGGCCTAGTATGTATAAAATTGGTATACATAAACACGTAAATATCATACGGAGTGTAGATGTTTTTGTTTCAAACACTATCACAGCATTCTTACTAATAGCAAGTGTAAGGCTTTTACAGAGCCCATGTTTATTCAAACACTTCAATACACTTCACCATTTATTCAGACGAGAGGCTGCATTTGAACCCGGAATTTTTCGTGATTGAAAGTTTTTTTTTTACAAAAAGAAAGCTTTTAGAAAAAAGTGCTTTAACGGAAATATTGAGAGGTGTAATGTGGAACATTTTTTCATTCCCATGCAAATAACTTTAGGACAAATAGACACGAATAACAAAAATAGAAAAATCATTGTTAGCGTTCTGAAAATACTGAAATTAACTTTCAACTGGTTCAAAATAGACAAAGTTAAGATTTAACGGCTTTATTAAATTTAACGTGCAGAATTAATATAAGTTCTGCTGAAACCGCTTTTCAGTTAATCTAAGTGACAGAACATAACTTTTGAGTATTATAGACCGTGTATTTCAACACCCCGGGATAAAGGTGAGCGTAGATTGAGAGTATACTGCAATTTGTATATGCAGGAAGAGATATATTTTCTTTAATATATTAAATTCCTATTTAAAACTAATTTTAACTAACAGCAGAGATTTTACAAAAAAAAAAACTAAGTTTTAGATACTGTCTACAGTTTATGTGAATAGTTCACATTTAAATAAAATACTTTAACGGTTTAAAACGCGATAAATTAGTTAAAGTTTAAATAAAACACTTTAACGGTTTAAAACGCGATATATTAGTTAAACTTATTTTAGACTTTGTCTCCCCGTGACCACGGCTGCTGCAAAGCATCCGAAACGTCGGGCCGAAGTTAAAAATAATTTTCAAATAAGTTTAACTAATATATCGCGTTTTAAACCGTTAAAGTGTTTTATTTAAATGTGTACTACTCGCGTAAACTATAGACAGTATTTAGTTAAAGTTATTTGAAAATAATTGATGACGACCACGGCTGCTGCAAAGCATCCGAAACGTCGGGCAGAAGTTAAAAATTATTTTTTACAGTTTTCAAACTAAAAGAATATTATGTCACGGACGGGGCTTGAACCCACTGCATTACGCGCAGTTTCCTCTACCAATGGAGTTATCCAGTACCACCGCAGTTCTAAACAACTATCTTACCTATAGTATGAGGAAAAGCCAAATTTATCATCTATGGTGTATTATTTGTAGTAAAGATAAATCTTTGGTTGGTTAAGCTATTCAATTTCAGCGCTATCTAGTCGACGTTTACCCTTTCTCGTCATAGTTTCAGGGCACGTTTAGTGCGGATGCGGCATCGTTAATAGACAGTCGCTTTGCCCTCTCTATGATAATGTACAAAACTATACTATGAATACATAAGTCAGTGTTTTACAGAAGTCGTTCTAAAAACGGAGTTTCACATGAAACCGTGTATATTATGTTACTGAAAAATGGAAATTGTATATAATAATTTTAAAAGTTCTTTTATAGGGTTCAGGGGAAATACGACAGCCATATAACGTTACAACAAGATGCACAGTCAACCTATTTTGATTTTGGATATTCGGAAATCCACAGACTGAAGCCGAAACGAAACTTTAAAGCTTTTGTTTCGGTTCGTGATTCGGATTACAGAATTCCAAACCCCAACTTTGTTTCAGATAAAAATATAAATTTATTAAAAAACATTGTATTCGATTGGGTTCGAACCACAGACCCTATTAGGTTTTTTCTAACATTAGACCAACAAGCCTGTCATAATATACTCTATCACTTGATTACCATACATTATTGTTATACCCTTAAGCGAGCCCGAGGCTTAAATCAATTCCTTTCACTTGCTTGTTAGTTACTCCGTCATATATACATAAAGATACATATTATAGATATACACACGTATAGTTTAGTCTGTGTTCAATATTTATTCGTTCAACTATTTCAAAAAGTCACGACTTTATCGATAGATAGAATTTTGTCACGGTTGGAAAAATGTACTTACATAACACGTTAATAGTGTGTGTAGCCACGACGTTTTCCGTTAGCTGTGCGTTGATGCCGTGGCAGACTACGACAATGGAACGCCGGTTGGGCTCCACCACCACCGTAATGTTCGATGTTGTAATCCAGCCACCTTAAAAAAGAATGTATATATGAATAGTGTGCTCAGTAAGAAATAAAAAGTATACTCCGTTCTGAATGAATTTGTATGATATAAAACGTCTTTTTGTCACATTTTTATAGATTTGATAAAATTTATTCTATAGTAAAAACCTCTTTGAACGTGTATCTTACCATTGTTTTTGCGAGGTATTTGACATGTTACCGGCGATAATTTTTTAACTGTTTTTTGCTATGAACTTTCTCGATTTAGGTCGATTTTTCATCAGACATAAGAACATAATGAAAATGTGGAAGGGTAAGAATTTTCCATACTTACCGACCGTGTTATAACTTTTTCCAGGTCGTTTCATTTAACTGAATACAGACATAACACTTAATGTATAAAGACACGAAAAAGACAAGATGGCGTCTTTTGTCTGTCAATTGTTTTTATTATTATATATCGATAATTAAATTTCACAAAAAAACAATAAATCGATTAGGTAGAGCTATTTTCAAATCTCTAACATTACTGTTAGTATTAATATTACTATGAATATTGACAAAATGTTTCATTTACAATGGGAGGTAGTTTAAGTGTATGTACATTTCCTTTAAATTCAGTTGTAAGGGAGTATACAACTAAACATTTAAATAGACAATATGGTGATACAAACTTTGTGTCACAACTAGTTTTATTAAGTCCTGTGGAGCCGTTAAATTAAATACTGACCTTCTGGCGAGATCACCGTTCGATTACTAGCCTCCCTGTGATGTTTACCGAGGACCAGCCATTTAATTTCAGCGGCGGGGTTCGAGGGGGCGGTGTTGCAAGTCAATGGTACTGGATCGCCGACTCGAGCCTCTGAAGGACCCGATATCGTCACATGCGAAGGAGCGACTGAAAATGGAGAAGAGATGTCAAAATACATTTAGTCTTTTTCTTACCCTAAAACTAAAATGAACCGACAGCGCATCTCGCCAATATGCTATATGGCTGGGGTATTTTAAATTCCATCCAGATAACCTTATGCTTATATGTTCCTCTTCACTACACAGTATAAAACAACATAGCTTTGTCTGTCCCTATTTTTTTAATTATTAGCGTACCTACGCTTAAATTTTAAAACCGATTTTGATGCGTTTTTTTTTAAAATAAACAGAGTGATTCAAGAGGAAGGTTTTTATATACAATGTTTATCGTTCATGTGTTTTTAGTATCAGCATTGCACCCGAGCGAAGCCGGTGCGGGTCGCTAGTATTGAAAATTATTTTTTTAGTCTCCCCGCAACCATGGCCGCTGCAAAGCACCCAAAACGTCGGGCCACTAATTAAAATAAATAAGTAAACAAGTATATTTCACGCGTTAAACCGTTTAAAGTGTTTTATTAAAATAAGATTACGTTATCTTAATAACCATTAAAAAAATAACCAAATTGGTGCGTTGTATAGCACATTTCTAAGTACATAACTTTTGACATAGGCCGTCACCACTACAGGTTTATCAGCTTCACCACGCCCAGCGTGAATTGTAAAAGCGCCGAAGCTCGATTCCGTAGGTACGGGGCACGCCTATTTTTCAGAAGCCCCAAGTTTCGAAGTTAAACAATTTATCAAGCTTCCAGTTTGTAGTCTGTACGAAATTTAAAACTAGTTTCACTATTAGTTAAGCGATTTTCGCAATAATTTATTCAATGTCTTATTTTGTTTTGCGTTCAGAGCTAACAAAATTTCTACGTATTGATATGATTATATTGTTCGTATAATTAATAAAGAACTTTTTACGATGTCAAACGCGAGTATTAGTTAACATATTTTTAACTGCAACTCGACTTTTCAGATCTTTGACAGCAGTTGTGGTCATAGGGGACACAAAATAGGGTCGATACTGTTCGTACTGTACCCTTAGTTGTCTAAATGTTATGATTATATTGTGAGGACATGAAATTATTTGACCGCCACTGAAGCTAAATAAACGTGTTAATTTAAATAAAACACTTTGACGGTTTAAAAAGCAAAATTTATTAGTTAAAAAGCCCGAGCTTATTTTTTATACGTGTTGACTGGCGTTGCGTAGAGTACGAGTGGTCCTGAATTTGAATCTCGGGTGAAACGATCAGTAAAACGGACATAGAAATGTGTTCGCCCCAAACTACGAGAGGTACCTCGCTTTTAATAAAAATGTTGATTACGTTTATTAAATTATCCTATTTTAAGAACAAATTTGCATCTTCATTGCTGTAAATGTTCCGTAATTTTTTCACATACTTGTAGAACGAATTATTCCCGGTTTTCATTTCTTCCCTTAACGGTGTTATTCCAATCTTGTTAGAAAAATAACGATTTCATTCTCGATCCGAGTTCGTCTCAACTCACGAGCAACACAAACAAAACAAGAAATAATTCCTAAGTTAAACAGAAAAAGGACAAAGTCTTTCGACGCTTTTGACTAGTGAAGCGTAGTTGAAAGTATTTTTTAAGATTCGGTACTGTTTACTCACGGGTCTGGGTGCGTTAATAAACGATAAGATGGCGGGGTGTGGTGCAAGTCATGAGAGAACAAATAACTAATTTTAAGCTCTTTGCTGTCGCTGTGTCAAAACTTTAGAATAAAAGATATATCACATAACATATGTATACAAGACAGAAGATGATAACTTGTATTGATTATTTTGTACATAGCATAAAGTTTATCACTTGTACCACAAAACTTCGAAATCACTCCACATTTGACTACACTTGAGTCTGATAGGGTTATTTTGTCAAAGGGTTGCGTAATTTGGTAGGGATCACGAATTTCCTGCTTACATTTTATTTAAACCTGAATCTAATTGAATAGCTAGTTACATATATGTAAGTAAAGCACTCTTAACGGTTTAAAAGTAACTTAAAACAGAAGTTTTTAACGTTCCTGTTGGTATATTGGTAGAAATGAAATGAGGGTTTAGACTGTAACAAAGAAATGATCACTGTCTGTTTGACACTTGCGGTATATAATATAAAGTACTTACAAAGAACAGTAAGATCGATCTCTGCCTTCAAAGTGTTGCTTATCATAATGTTTTTAGCTTCACACGTGTACCGAGCTTTGTTATCCGATGCGTCCGCTTTGAAAGATAGGACGTTTTCCGACATGCGACCGCTCGTTCTGAAAAGAATTTCATGTATTATTATTTAAATTCACAATAGTTAAATTTTGTGTTTAATACTGTGTGTAGTTTGCATTAGTAGTACACATTTAAATAAATCACTTAAACGGTTTAAATCCCGAAATATATTGGTTATTTCTATATATATAATTATTTCTCGGGTCGACGTTTCGGATGCTTTGTAGACAAAACACTAAAGATGGAGGGTGTTTCTAATGTCAAAGTAAAAACTGCTAAGGTAGCGCCATCTGTTCCGTCGTGTGTGTCTTTTTCCTTCTTTAAAGAAAATTACATTGTATTTGACAGTTTCATGGCTTAACACCTGTTTATCGTCAAAAGGGCTTAGTAGAGTGGCAAAAAAAATAAATAGCTAAGAAACACGACACACACATGTTGTTAGGAATATAGTAAATAGCCCCACGAGCGGTATAAATCTCAAAATGGATCGACAGACGATGTTCACAGACCGATTGTAGAAGATAAAGAGTGCGACAAACTATCTCCATCCTTGTCTTCAACTGAAACTCAATTATACGGGCCTCGAGTCAGGTGTAGCCATCTAAAGTTAACCAACTTAATAATTCGAACGAGCCCCCACAAATACTCCGTAACGCTATCAAATATCAAACTATGTCAGATAGTGCGGTTCTGCGGTGGAATTGACCTTTTCATACCCTTTTGACATTCTAAAACTAAGTATAGGCTTTAGTTTCGTTTCAACCGAATGTACCGCTGCTGTGTCCTTTAGCATGGAACAACAGTTTTAAACGTTTCCACCATAGTACTCCAATTCAGTGACTATCTGAGACCGACTTAAGTCATGAATCTATCTATTAGCCGAACCAGGCTTCGATCCTGGGACCTAGTTACTTCTAGTGAACTGTACGCTACTTCAGTGACTATTGTGACTAGTGATAGTGACGGAGGCATATAAGGATACTTTCTCTTCTTCTTTACTGTCAAATACTTAGTATCTTTTTTTTATTATTCCAAGTACCAACATTTTTCCCGAACCAGGATTCAACCCCGTGTCCTCGTAAAATAGTGGAGTATAAGTAGACTAATGAAGAAGGTCTGAGTGCTGCTTCACTAGAGTTCAAAGTTGTAATATAAAAAACCGCAAGCCCAATCCGACGCACCCCCAAATTGCAGGCGAAAAATAGTTCGTAAATAAACAAAAGAGTCGCGATAAAAATTCTTTGAAAACAGTTTTACATTCATAACGCCGCTTTTAAAATACTCCGCGAAAGTTCTGGTCTAACTCCATCCTAGATTACAACTTTTTGTGTCGGTTAGTTTTTGTTTGCCGGTTGTAATGATGAAAAATTTTAAACTATTAAAGCTCGCTTAAGCCCGGGATATTTTTATTAAAGTCTACTTAAGAGCGCGGCTATGTTAAGTCCAAAGGAAAACTGAAGTACCTACCTATTGCGATAAATTGTGAAGTTCTTTAAAGGAATTTCAAAAACCTAACACTATAATTTAAAACTAACTAACTTCTACAATCTTGACTAAAAGTGCCTCTTACTTATAGTCAAGAGGTAGTTCAATCCTTTAAACATTCACCAAATAACATTGATCGAAGTTATTTGTCCAACAAACCCAAAAATAATTCTTCACTTTGAACAAGTAGATCCTGAGATTAGCGCGTTCGAACAAACAAACAAACTGTTCAGCTTCATAATATTAGAGTAGAATACGTCTTAATGGAGTTAATCTCTAGTTTGTAAGCAAATCCAAAATATACTTTCCAAAAACAAAGTTCGGTCTTTAGCAAAATTAAGATAACTAGCGCAAATAATAATTAGTTTAGGCTCAGCCGAGTTATTGGGTCAATTAACTGATCTAAACGCCCATTGGCATCAGTGCTTAGTGTCGCCATTGGTAATATAGTCCTAAGGACGGCTAGTAGTTGGCAACATCGTGTTACATGTGTAAATTGTGGTGTTGCCCATTCATTATGCTCAACGGGACCAGTTAAATGCATTATTGATTAATTAATACAAAAACTATGCATGTTGTATATAAAAACGCGGGTAGACATAGATAAATAATACATTTATTTACAAAGACTCGTATATGACTTACAATTAATAATAAAAAAGAGAAAAATGAAAAAGGTACGTTGTAAACTTTGTGTTATAAGGTATCGGACACATCTAAAATTTGTTGACAGCTGATTTTCAGTTTGTCAGCAAATTTTAGAATTTCATTAATATGTCGCTTGTGTAGTAGTGAACGTCCTACGGAGATTCGAAGTAAATTCCAAATATTGAAATTATTTGTTGTCCAATTCGGGATGTGAACTCTGAACCTATATCGTGAGGTCAGTCGAGTTCTAGAGTATTCGCATACCACCAGTGACTATAACAACGAGGCAAATGTTTTTAAAATATTGTCATATATTTTGCGTTTAAATAAAATACTTTAACTTTCGAAGTTGTTATTTGGCGACGACACCCGCCATCTTTAGTCTCTCCGTGACCACGCCTGCTGCAAAGCATCCCAAACGTCAAGCCGTTGTTATAAATATTTTTTCTTAAGTTTAACTAATATATATCGAGTTTTAAACCGTTAAAGTCTTTTATTTAAATGAGTACTACTCGCGTAAACTACACACAATATTCTAAATATATAAAAACCGTTATACTTACGTTTGTAAGTTTATTCACAAATTAAAAAACCAATGGACCTTCATCAGATCATCTAGAGGATGTTTATTTTAGTTCGCTTAACACGTCGTTGTAATGTAGTTGTATGTAAGTTTTAATAAAACTCAACTAGTAAATAAAATTGAAATGTTCCACCTAGCCGTGAACAGGTCTCTGTAGAAAATTTCCTAAGAAGCAACGTCTACTCTATACACACAAGTTTTTCATAACAATTACGTTTTCCTAGAATCGCACAAGTTCACAGTGCATAAAAACAGGCCTTTCAACCACAATAAGCGTCCATTAATTCTGATTTCCCAGGACAATGAAAGCTTGATTTCTGCGACCGTAAAGCGACCATGAAAACGACTGTATTTAATTAAATTGTTTATTTCCTATATTAACCTGCAAAGCGGTTACGCGCTTTTCTTGTAACTGGTATGTTTCAATCGAATCACTCACTTGTTTAATTTTCATGACAAGAAGGAAACAAACGATTAAAGATTTTCCATGCCGTCTTTGACTTCTAATTAACATGTGCTGTCGACTTATGTTATTTTAGATATTGTCATTATCATCGATGTCGATCCGGGACCAACTAATATCAAATGAAGCGAAAGAGTTTGTTTATTTGTTTGAACGCCCTAATCTCAGAAACTAGTGGTTCAGATATAAAATTCTTCTTGTATTGGTTAGAGTATTCAAATTAGCATCAACCCATAATAAATATTCTATAAATTCAACATCACAATTAGTCTTTTGATTCAATATCACAAATACAAAGATTAAAACATTTCTCTACTTAGTAAATTACTTCAACGAAAGAGTTGTAACATTTTTAAATAAAAGATGCTTTAGAAGTGTCCTTTTATTACACCGCTAATAGTCGTAGAGGGTTATAAAATATGTAAGAAAGCCATGTTTTATGGAAAACGGCGGACAAACATCTAGCAATCGATAGCAAAATTATTACTAATTTATACGTTTACAATTATATAAATTATAACTCTAATAAGTTTAAAAAATATCGAAATGGTCGATGGCATGTAAGATACGGTTTTTTAATTGGTTATAGCAGCAACACAGAACGCTGGGATTTTTAAATTTACAGAATGCCATCATGTGCGAGATGTAAGAAATATTTAGATTATTATTTTTTATTCTTTTATTATTATTTTTTTTTATATACATTTTTAAAAACGCTTATAAAAAGCCTCCAAATTGATTGAACATACGATTATAACTTCTAGATTAGTACACTTTTAGTTATGTTTTTAACATATTTAATACACGACTTGTTTACGGGCAAGGAAAGGAAACGATGAGATGCAACTATATAGATAAAAAAATATTCGTAAATATAAATTCACAAATCTCATTTTTAACTACTTCATAGTCACCCTAAACAATGGACTGTCGACCAAGCGGTACACGATAGAAGCATTACTGCAAGACTAGAGAATTCATTTTAAAATGTCTCATATAAGACTAAATTCTTTGAACTATTTCTCTTTATATCAAGCTGTTTCAGCGCAGACTGCAATGATTAGAATTGCTGTTTTTTTCCTCCCTCGGGTAGATAACGAACATTTTTCTACATCGCTAATAATAGGGATAAATGTTCGACATAAAATAAAGTGTGTAATAATTTTCGATGTTTCGGAACTACTAAAATTTTAAGTTTGAGAACATTATATAATAACCATAAACATATAGCTCAGCTGAAGAGTTTGCTTGTTAGTTTGAACGCGCTAATCTCAGAAACTACTGGTCGGAATTGAAATATTGTTTGTGTTTGTTGGATCATTTATCGAGAAAGATATTGACTATTAAACACCAGACTTCGACCACTAGGAGCGAAAAGAGGAAAATTTGGGAAAAATATTCCTCCTTGTGGGTTTCCGTTGCGTTCGTGGCGAAACCGGGTTAATATGCCTGAAAATGTGTACAAAAGAAATATTCTACTTTCAATAATCTGAAAATATGTCTGCGACAAAATAAGTTTGTCTTTTATAAGTAACCCACAAGAACCGTTTCTATGGCAATGAAATTTGATCGAAATACCTCATATGGCTGTCGGGTCAGCTAAATAGTATCGAGCAAGCATAATAAGCAGCAAATGAACCAGACACAGAATTGCACCCGCCCCATTCCCCAAATTGGTTAAGCACTTTCACTTTATCGACAATCGCTACAGCGCAAGACTCACTCCTCGTCAGTATAAATTTCCTCTTAAATTTTCCAGCGCGTTATTTATTACTTAATCTCGACGCCTCGCGAATGTTTTTAAGAGTTAACTGCCGAGTTATAATTCCGTGAAGAATGGTCGCCTCTCTGTGAGCTAGATA